GCTTCGCTGCCTCCGGCCACAAAGCGGTGGGCCCCAAGGAGCCAACAGTGGAGGCAATGCGGAAGCAGTACCATGCCAACTGCTTCACCTGCCGGACCTGCCACCAGCTCCTGGCTGGCCAGCGCTACTACCAAAAAGAGGGGCGCCCCATGTGCGACGCCTGCTACCAGGTACCCCTCCTCCTTCAGGGACAGCCGGCACCCTCAGGGGGGTGGCAGATGCTGTCCCTTGGGAGGGGAGCTGGCATCTCACGGTCTGTCCCCCCCGCAAACCCCAGGCCACGCTGGAGAAATGCGCCAAGTGCCGGGGACTGATCACGGAGCGCATCGTCCGTGCCCTGGGCAAAGGCTACCACCCCGGCTGCTTCTCCTGTGCCGCCTGCGGCCGGGCCATTGGCACAGAAAGCTTTGCCGTGGACGAGCGGGACGAGGTGTACTGTGTGGCTGACTTCTACAGGTTGGGGAGCACAGAAACACGGGAGCATCCCCCCACGTTGGGGGTGGGTCGGCTCATCCCCATTGCCCCCCAGGGCTCACGCCACCCTGGTTTGCTCCCATCAGGAAATATGCTGTGGTTTGCAGCGCCTGTGAGCACCCCATCATCCCCAGCGAGGACAAGGATGCCTACAAGATCGAGTGCCTAGGACGCAGTTTCCATGAGAGCTGCTACCGTTGCGAGGTACAGCCCCGACAGGGCTGGGGGTGCCCCCCAAAAGCTGAGGGGTTTGGCACTGAGCCTTTGCAAAGCACGGCCACGGGGCAGCTTGCAGCACCCGGAGTTATTTTTTAGTTGCCAGTTTATCTTGCAAGCAACGGGGAGGGGGAAAAATAAATAAATCGTGTGAAAAGGACGATGTGTTTGGCCAGGAGAGCTTCAGCTTTTCATGCTTTTGATGTAGTTTGTTGCTTTTTCCAAGCGCTGGTGGGTTTTGTGGGAAAGATGGAATGCAATGGCATGGCGTCTCACATGCAATGCAGCATGGGGACCCCTAAAACATGGCCTCCCTTTTCCCTCTCACCCCCAGAGCTGCGGGACGCCCCTGTCGACGGAGCCAACGGAGAACGGGTGCTACCCCCTGGCTGCCCACCTCCTCTGCAAGTCCTGCCACGTCCGCCGGCGGAATGAGTCGTCCTGCTAAACCCCTGTGGCTCAACCTCCATCTTCCAGCGCTGGACACCAAAAAGGGGGTGCACCCACCGGGATGCACCCTGCAGCCGGACCCAGGTGCCTGTTGCACCTCCAAATAGCTGCAGGATCGCAGTTTTCATCACCAAAATGTACCCGGGGCCCTGATGCGCTGGGCTGGCCAGGTGGAGAGGCGCAGATGTAGTGTTCCGGCATGGCTCTGCACTCATAGGGAACATAAAAAGCCCTGGCAGAGCAGCGGTGATGGAGGAGCTGAGGTTTCGTTCATTTATTTCTTTTTTTAAACTCTTTTTCCGAGGCCGGGTTGGTTTCCTTGGGTGTTTGTTTTCTTTCTTCTTGAGCTTCCTTGGGGTTTCACTTAAATGTTTCTCCCTGCGGTGACGCAGAGAGTGGGCACTGATTTTAGTTACTCACAGTTAAATAAAACCCTGAGTTTAAAACCCCTCATTTCTTTCATCCGCCCTGCATTCCAAACCCGTAAAATGCAAGTTTAAAAGTAAGAAAAAAAGCTCCACTTCTTAGATTTTACAGCCGTGGCGAGAGCTGGGTCGCTTAGGGCGGTAACGCAGCTGATTTTGGGGTGCAGCAAATGGGCAGATGCTGCTGTCGCCCCAGGGGAGAGCAGAGGGTTGCTTTTTGGGCCCAGATTCGGGATTTTGCGAGGTGCTGCGGTGTTGATGAAAGGGTGTTTGGTGGTGGGGTGTTTTTGTTTGGTTTGGGGTTTTTTTGTGGACAGCCTGAACTGCCTGGGCTCCATCTCAGCCAAGTCCCAGAGCCAGCAGAGGGCAGCCGGAGCACAAATTCCCCCATCAGGCAGGAAAAACTCCAGTTAAACAGTCTCACCTATATCCAACAGTGCTGGAATGCTGGGAAAGACCAACAGCCCCATTTTTGCACATTATCCAGATAGTATCGCTCCACCATCGGAAGCTTTTTGATCTTCTCTCAGTCCAAGCCCCAAAACAAGCAGAAATTAAACCATTTCTTTGCGTACCCAACATCTGCACAACCAATGTAACCCGTGCTTCGCAGTTTTGTTTGCGAGGGCGTTGCAAAGCAGACGGAGAAAGGGGGGGTTTCTTTTTAACCGAAAGTGCTTAAAAAGCCACAGCTCAAGAGCAGAAAATAGCATCTGAGATGATGTTTAATGCTTTCCTCATGAAAAAAGGGGGCTGCTAAAAAAAAAACCACAACCCAACCACCAAACCAGGAGCCGTACACTTTTGGTCATGTTGTCTAATGTCTCTCCAGCGCATGCTGTATTTATGAAGGAACGGGTTAATGCATGATTAATGTATGCACTGGAGTCCGGCGGGCTGGTTGATTAATCACACCAACCCCGCAACTATTTCCGGCCAACTCTCCCCAGCTACAAAGCTGATTACTCAACATTTGTAATGTGTGTCTACGGCCCATCAATCAGGTCATAACTCGCTATAAAGTTATGTTAACGTAATGTTGTGGTCTGTCCCAGTCACATAAGTAGGTGGCTTTGGGTCTGTCCAGGGCAGGGGGTGGATGCCACGTGCCCCTGTCTCCCACGCTGGGGAAGTCCGATGCTCAAAGTCAGCTCTTGCTTTCCAAAGCCTCTTGCCCTGTGGGGAAAACCAGGCACCGAAATAATGCTAAAAAAAGTAGAAAGACGTGGGCAGGCTGGGCGACAGCCAAAGGGAGCAGGGAAGGGAAGCCCCAGAGAGCACAGGGTTGCTTGGTTTTTGGCAATTCAGGGTGTTTTTCCAAGTGAAGTTTTCGGGGAGGATGGAAATGCCGAAGCTGAGCGGTGTTTTGGATGCATTGTTGCATTGCATGCTGGCTTAAACCCTCTGCGCAGAGGGTGCTGTGCTGTGCTATCCCTCTGCAGAGCCAAGGGTGGGAAGGGGTCAGGTATTTCCCCCGCAGAGCAAGCCGGGATGGGCTGTTAACACCAGGACTGCAGTGATTTTTGGCTGGTGGCACGCAGGGAAAGATTTTTTTATTGACATGAAGCCTTGAAGAAGGTGCTGAAGGGCGAGAAGAAGGGCAAGGCGCAGCTGGAGAGTTTGGCAGCATGGCGAAGGGAGGCAGAAGTGGTCAGATTTGGTATATTTTTCCAGGAGCGGAGGATGACAAGGGACAGGGATGGATGGATGTGGAGGTAAGAAGATAAAAGACTGATTTGAGCCATTTTTCTTCCTGGATAAGGGGAGAAGCATTACAAGCCGAGGTGTGGGGAGCATTGCTAAGCTTGAAAAGCATGGTCCTGTGTTTTCCCCTGGGAGGATATTGAGGAATTTCCAGTGCTGGCTGAGCTGCGTGGAGGAGATTTCACAGGGGTGGGGCTGCAGGAGCTGGGTCCCATCCTGCTGCCGAGCAAGCCCACATTGGCTGCAACAGCTCAGCTCATCCTTGGGCTCCTCGCCCCATTGCAAGCGCTTTTGCAAGCACCCAGGTCTGCTAGCAAAAATAAAATAAATACAAATCCTGCACGGAGCAATATGAAGCTCTTGCTCTCCTTGGGAGCTCCCCCCAAGTTTTGCAGAGTTCCCTTCATGTCCACCCAGGCATAAAACCCGCTTGAGGTCTCCCTTGTAATGCTAAAAAAAGTAGAAAGACGTGGGCAGGCTGGGCGACAGCCAAAGGGAGCAGGGAAGGGAAGCCCCAGAGAGCACAGGGTTGCTTGGTTTTTGGCAATTCAGGGTGTTTTTCCAAGTGAAGTTTTCGGGGAGGATGGAAATGCCGAAGCTGAGCGGTGTTTTGGATGCATTGTTGCATTGCATGCTGGCTTAAACCCTCTGCGCAGAGGGTGCTGTGCTGTGCTATCCCTCTGCAGAGCCAAGGGTGGGAAGGGGTCAGGTATTTCCCCCGCAGAGCAAGCCGGGATGGGCTGTTAACACCAGGACTGCAGTGATTTTTGGCTGGTGGCACGCAGGGAAAGATTTTTTTATTGACATGAAGCCTTGAAGAAGATGCTGAAGGGCGAGAAGAAGGGCAAGGCGCAGCTGGAGAGTTTGGCAGCATGGCGAAGGGAGGCAGAAGTGGTCAGATTTGGTATATTTTTCCAGGAGCAGAGGATGACAAGGGACAGGGATGGATGGATGTGGAGGTAAGAAGATAAAAGACTGATTTGAGCCATTTTTCTTCCTGGATAAGGGGAGAAGCATTACGAGCCGAGGTGTGGGGAGCATTGCTAAGCTTGAAAAGCATGGTCCTGTGTTTTCCCCTGGGAGGATATTGAGGAATTTCCAGTGCTGGCTGAGCTGCGTGGAGGAGATTTCACAGGGGTGGGGCTGCAGGAGCTGGGTCCCATCCTGCTGCCGAGCAAGCCCACATTGGCTGCAACAGCTCAGCTCATCCTTGGGCTCCTCGCCCCATTGCAAGCGCTTTTGCAAGCACCCAGGTCTGCTAGCAAAAATAAAATAAATACAAATCCTGCACGGAGCAATATGAAGCTCTTGCTCTCCTTGGGAGCTCCCCCCAAGTTTTGCAGAGTTCCCTTCATGTCCACCCAGGCATAAAACCCGCTTGAGGTCTCCCTTGTCTTCTTCCAGCAGTGGTGCAAAAGGGCAAAGAGGATTGTACGCCTCCGAATCCCAGCGGCCAGGCCCTGCCCTTCCCTCTGCTGCTGCAATAAGCCTGTCTTTTCTTGCAATCCCTCTTGGCAGGCCAAGGAGAACGGGGAGGGACTTGGCTGCCCTCCAAGGAGAAGCAAATGCAAATATTTCTTCACTTCAGGCTGGGTGCGGCCCTGAGGATAAAATTTCCCCGGGCTTTCCCAGTGAAGGCATCCGATACCATACCCTGCTGTGAGCCCAGTTTGCTCGGAGGAATACAACAGTGTATCTCATAAAAAAAACCAAAAAACCCAAAGGTTATCTTTCTTGCAACTCAAAGGCCTGTCTGATTTTTAAAAAGCGCTTTTAAATTGAAGTATGAGCAGACAGGCATGGCTGTAGTGTTTTTTAAATCAGTGGCCAAAGTGTTGCTTCGTAACAAACAAGGCCTTTTTTTAGGTTTTTGTTTGCAAGATGAAGATTTTGGCACGGCACAAGGAAAGCAAGACTGGCATCCCCCCTTCCCCGGTCATCCGTGAGAAACGCAAAAAACAGAGGGAGAGAGAAGCTGGATTCCTCGCGTGCCTTCGCTCTGCCATCACCACCTTCAAGGGGCTGGGAAGGAGCCGGCTGCGGAGAGAGAAATGCCGCAGGAAGGGAAACTGAAGCCGAAGCAGCCACCAGGGCTTTGCTGGCTGGAAAAGGCGCTGGGAGGAGGGCTGGGTGCTTAGTGCCGCTGATGGTTTGGGGTTTTGGTTTTTTCTTTTTTCTTCAAATGGGATGGAGAGCACTGGAGGAAAACTGTTTTTTTTTCCTTTGGTCGACCCAGATTAATTGCAACTGTATCCCAGCTGGCTTGCTGCAGCGTCATCCTTCCCCGCAGAGCGTTCAGACCCGTTTTCTGCGCTTTCCCATCTTTGACACAACCTAAAAACCTCACATTTCTTAAATGCAAAGAGGTCTGATTCTGCTGGCTATGGGAGAGGTGGGGAAACCAGCAGAGATTTCTCTGGGAGCTGCCTAAGCGCAGAATTTCTCCAGCTTGGTTATGCAGCACAGGCGGGATGTATTAAAAAAAAAAAAAAAAGCAATATTCTCTTTTTTTCCCATTTTCCCCGTAAAACTGAAAACACCCACCACCGCGATGTATTTTTAAAGCACACCGTGTTTTCAGTAACACAAGGTTAAATCGATGGGGCCAGTTACACAAGCATATTACCAGGCTGCAAGCGATACACTGGGTTATTTAAAAAAAAAGGGGGGGGGGGGGGAAACAAAAACCAACCAACCCATTTCTGAAAATAGATACACAGCACACACCTGCAAGCAGGACTTTGACATTTTATATCCCAGCTTTCTTTTGTTGTATCAGCAGCGATTACAGCAGCCCTATTTCCTGAAAATTAACAATTTTCACCCAGAGCTGCCTTCAAGCAGCTTACGTTACATCTTTATTTTGCTAGAGTGTCCGTTAGAGCCGTAGGTAAGGGTTTTTAAGAGAGATTTCTCTCAGAGGTTATCCTGTTTGTCAAGGTGGCTTATTGACCTCGGTGATTTATCACTGGGAAAAAAAGCCGGAGGGAGGAGAGGAGGGTGGGAATAGCTCCTAAAAATAAATATATCCCTTAATTCTCCGTGTGGCTAAACTTTCCCTCACAGCCCAGCACAGGGAATAGACTTTAATCTCCTTTATCGGATTGCTTCGTCCGAGGCTGAATCTTTCTGAGGCGATCGGCCTCCACCCGGCGTTTTAAGGGCACCACGTTTTGTAGAGGAAAAGAAAATTGAAAGGGGGGTGTTTGCCTGACAAAAGCGGGTGAGGAGGAGGCCGGGGCTGCCCCCTCA